TTTTTTTTTTTTTTTTTTTTTTTTGAGTTGAAGTCTCACTCTGTCACCCAGACTGGAGTGCAGTGGCACACTCCTGGCCACTGCAGCCTCGACCGGCTGGGCTCCAATGATCCTTCTGCCTCAGCCTTCTAAGTAGCTGGGACTACAGGCTACTACCACGACCAGCTAATTTTTGATTTATTATCGAGACAAGGGCTTGCCAAGTTGCCCTGGCAGTCTTGAACTCGCAGGCTCAGGCAATCCACTCGCCTCGGCTGAATCACCGAGCCTGGCCCCCCTTCCCTCCCTTGGGGAGGTGAATCGCCTCTTTCTCTCTCTCTCTCCAATTTATTTTCTAAATAAACTATATTTTTAAATCTAACTTCTGTGCAAGTCTTTGCATCTTTCATGCAGCATTGGATCACAAACCAGACACCCACACCCCCAGCGGGCCTGAACTAACATTCTGGAGGCCCTGCTGGATTATATGCCCTAATGTTGTGGGAAAAACATAGAGACCATGACACTGAGGCTGTCTTAGGAAGTAGCAGTTTATTAGCGGCAGCGTGACTCAGCAGGCCAATGCTCCAAGGCTGAGCAACACAGAGAAACAGGAGAGGGGTTTTATCTGTTAGTTTAGGTAAGGGAGGGGTTCGGGTCATATGGCTATACATTTTTCTTTGGAATTTGCAAGGTGGTATTCAGCAAAACCAGATTTTCAAAGAACAAATTGTCTCCAGGGTATACATGACAAGCAGGGGTTGTAAACTAATCACCTCACAAAGAGAGGATGTGGCGATAAAGTTGTGAATGGATTACTATTTTGCATTTTCAGGAAAGGGACCTTTGGCTATTTGGTTTTCTCAAGCCCCATGTCTAGCAGGCCTGGAGCTTGTCAGTTGATCTTTTTTTTATTTATTTTTTTATTATTTATTTATTTATTTTTTTGAGTTGGAGTCTCACTCTGTCGCCCAGACTGGAGTGCAGTGGCCGCTCCTGGCCACCGCAGCCTCAACCTGCTGGGCTCCAGCGATCCTTCTGCCTCAGCCCTCCAAGTAGCCGGAATTACAGGCATGCGCTACCACGCCCGGCTGATTTTTTAATTTATTGTAGAGATGAGGTCTCGCTGCTCAGGTGGGTCTCGAACCCGCGGGCTCAGGCAATCCACTCACCTCAGCCTCCCAAAGGCGCGAGATTACAGGCTGAGCCACCGAGTTCGGCTGAGAACATGTTCTAAACCAATTGTTCATTTTTATGCCATGCCATTTTTGTACTGGGCCATGGGCAAGCTTTCTAATATAAGAAAGAACAGAAATGTTAGTGAGACCTTCTTCCAACATGTCCAATTTGTAGGGGTCAACTGTCAATTTTATAGCAAATAAGGTCAGCTGTATAACAAATAAAATGACAAACAGTATAGCAATTAGCAAATACAAAGACTGACAAAGCAAAACAATGGCTTACCAGTAAGGTCCATTGAGTCCTTAAGCTTCTGTCTTGCGTAGATCAACCAGCGTCCAGTGTGTGACTGAAGCAAGGCCAATGGATGCTCAAACTTCAGCTGTGCGTGGACTAGCCAGCCCCAGAGTGGCTAGAGCAGGGCTTGAGGAATCTGTTTTGGGTTTTCTGTTGGCCTCGGTGACTTTCGGTGGGGCGGGTTGGGTCAGCTTAAGGGGAACTGACAGATTTGTGGGGCACTCCCAGTCTTGGGGAGCAGGCTTAACTTTGTTGTAATTATTTTGGCTACTTTGCAGTTGGGGTAGATAAAAGGACAGTAAATGGACCCCTCCAGACGGGTTTTAGAGGCCGTACATTCCATTATTTTACCCATATCATATGACCTGGTTTAAAAGAATGGGCATTGGTAGTTAAACTGATTGGTAGCTGTTCTCTGACTTGATAATGGATGGCATTTAAGACTGAACCTAAGGCCTGCATTTGTTGTTTTAGAGTAAGATTTCCTAACTCCTTTAAGTCTCCCTGTATGCCCTTAACAAGAGGGGGTGGCCACCCATAAAGGTTTTCAAAAGGCCTGTTTGTTTGGTGGGGCTAGACCTTACCCTTAGAAGGACTATTGGCAGAAGCTGGACCCAGCCTAAATGAGTTTCTTGGCATAACTTACTTGTGATTTTAAAGTCCAGTTCATTCACTCCACCTTTCCTGAACTTTGTGGCCTATAGGCTGTATGGAGCTTCCGTTTGATTTGCAGTCCTTTAGCCATTAACTATACTACTTCAGCTACAAATGCCGGACCACTGTCCGATCTGATAGTGATCAGGAGTCCAAACCAGGGAATTATTTCTTTTAACAGGAGTCAGGCCACCTCGGTGGCTTTTTCTGTCCCTGTGGGGAAGGTCTCAACCCATCCTGAGAAAGTACACACCAAAACAAGGAGTTATCTGTAGCCTTGGTAGCATGAGAGTTCTGTAAAGTCCACAATAAGATCCTCAAAGGGTGCCCCTCCCTCATGTTGCACTCCAGGGGAGACTGTGGGTTCCTGCCACCGGTTATTTTGAGCACAAGTTACACACTGTTCACAGACTACCCACGCTATACTGGAGAGTCGGGGGACATAGAAGTACTTACTGAGAGTATTCTCAAAAGCGGTCCGTCCACTGTGTGTCCCTTGGTGAAATTGCCTGACAAATGCTGGAGCCAATAATTCTGGAATTTCTTTTCAGCCGTCTTGAATTTTCCACCCCCGGGCTTGTAAGTAGTGTCCCATTTCGGTTTCAAACCCTGTTTTCTCATTTGTAGCAAGGGCTCCAGTTTGTCAGCAGGCTAGGAAGCAGTGCTGCAGTTATTGCAGTCATTTTGACCGTTTCTCTTGTTGCTGTAAGTTTTGCTTCTTGATCTGTTTTGTGATTTTCTTTGACAGTTATCACATTTCTCTTTTGATGTCCTCTGCAATGTATGACTGCTACCTCTTTTGGTGCCCTTACAGCATCTAGTAGTTCTCGAATTTCATTGTCATATTTTATGTCTTTTCCCCCTGAATTGATTAACCTTTCTCCTTGTATAAGGCCCCGTGCACGTGAAAGGTAGTAAAAGTGTACTTGGAGTCTGTATAGATATTAGCACGTAGCCCTGCGGCTAGCTGGAGGGCTCGCGTGAGCACAATGAGTTCTGCTTTCTGAGCTGAAGTTCCTACTGGTAGAGGTTTCACCTCAACCGTGGAGTTTAAAGTTACCACCGAATAGCCCGCGGAGCATTCCCCCTCCTGTATGAAACTGCTTCCGTCTGTGAAGTATTGACTTCAGGTCCCTGAGGGGCTGGTCTGTTAAGTCTGGATGGTTAGAGAACACTTCATTTATTCTTTCTTTCTTTTTTTTTTTTTTTGAGTTGGAGTCTCACTCTGTCGCCCAGACTTGAGTGCAGTAGCCACTCCGGCCACCGCAGCCTCGACTTGCTGGGCTCCGGCAATCCTTCCACCTCAGCCTTCTGAGTAGCTGGAACTAC